ATGTGTTGTTGAACTAACTTGCGCTATAGTTATCTTAGTCGTAATCGTAGGTATTGTAGCCGTCTTCAGTTCCGGTAACACTAGTGAAATCAGAACAATCATCTTCTATATCCTCTTCGGTAGTTAGCATGACTGTTTGCATCATTTGATCGGCCTTCCTCCAATCACCAAGCGACATTTGATTCTCCAAGTTTTGTGGCGTCAACTTTGACCGTCGTGTATCCAATGTATATCCTAGCTCCCTCGCTAAATGCTTGTTCAACTGCCACTGTTGAGGTCGGGACAACGAAAATCTACTTGGCCATATTGCATGGAATAGGATAGTGCCGCTCATTTTTCACCACCAATCCAAGACGTCGAATTTGAATGGCGGGTCTAGTGTATGAGCAATGTTAAATCTCAAATTCGATGAGAGGTAGTGATCGAGCTCCTGGTATCCGGTCTCCATTGCCTGTGGATAGAACCACCCGCATGAGGAGAAGATCACCAATCCCCAAAGTTTGAGGCTTGGTTTGTCGTTTGAGGCCCATAATAAGAAGAAGAAGACCCGTCGGACCCGGAAGCAAAAGATGACGCACTTTCCCCCGCTGCGACTGTTGTATTCATAAACATTTCATACAACAATTTTTGTAGTAACTTGACGAGCTATTGTGAGTTAGTTTTTCAAGATTGTCTCTCGCAAGAAGTGGGAGTTCATACATAATATCATAATAAGTGTGAAGCTGGTTGAGCAAGCCACGTTCTTTTGTGATAGATCTAATAAGCATGCAACTAAAAATATTTCGAAAATGTCATAATAATATTTAAACTAGTTTTATAACATTTCTCTAACAATTTCGTTGTATTTATCGATCATTAGTATATATCTTTTAAAAGACATTACGGCTACGCATTGAGCAAACACAAGATAAGATGTAAGATAGTATAAACACCAGAATGTTAGTAGCATCTTGAAATATTTGTAAAAATTTCATTATTACGTCACACTTTATTTAATCTTGGTAGTTATGCGGAGATCACAGTTGTTAAGTCAGAACTTTGAAAAAACACTTCCAAATGTTTAGAATATTTGTTAGTTTTTAACAACATTTTATAAGTTGAGATCCACCAGGTAGGAACGTCCGGTTGAAATTTTTAAGTGTAATACCTTGTCTTTCGCAATACCTTTTCCAAGCTTTCATTTCTAAAAGACGTCGATATAAGTAAACAACGCCTCCCTAATGGGCGTGACTGGGTCTTTTAAAGCATGATAACCCGCTTGAACGCATATATTAAAAATATGACCCCTACAACGAATATGAAAAAATTTTACCCCACAAATGGGACTAACATTTAGTTTAAGCTAACCAATGGATGCAATATTAGCACTAGCATTACAAAACAAATAGAATTTTTTTTTTACCAATGTTATAACTAGTCACGACACGTGAAATTAAACAAGCGATATTAGAAGCGGGTTAAATGGCGTATAAGCAATTAAACGTTTTTGTAATTGAAAATTATCAACCCGATGACAAGTAATTCCTAGGTAATAGTTCGACACCCATTGATCGGACCAAATATTACAACAAATTGAAATTCTTTGTTGTAAATTAGAAAATGTTTGCGCCAAAAATAATTTTTCCCTCAGCCACAATATTTCGAATATCACGGGTAAGACTAGTACGTGAAACTCGTTGCGCAGTCGGGTTCAAATCCATTTGAGCAAAATTTTCATATAATTTGAAATCAGCAAAACCAAAATGAAGAGAGGATGCACAAACATATTAACCTAGATGATGTCTATAATTTTCATGTGAGTATTGAAATAAAGTTGAAGACGCACATGCTCCACTCCCGAATGTTGCAACTTCCAGTCGGGAGTTGCGTTTGAATTAAGAGAATCTCCATTTCGGCAGGATGATAACGTTGTATGTGTCGTTGCATGGATTCGTACCCATCGTCAATTTTCCAAGCCTACTGCTTCCTCGAGTTGACAGACAGTGGTTGTAAATACATATAAAATATTTGTCACATAGTTCAATATTGAGCACCTTTGTGAAATGCTTTGCAAAGATTGTCGATTTCTTCGTATTTCCTCCACCGCTGTCCGCCGTTGGAGGTTGAGGTTGATGACCCCCTCCACCTTCAGCATTACAATTTTTACTTTCAAAATTTGTGTGTCTTTGACGGCTCAGTATCTGGATCCCCGTTGCTTGGTAACACGAAACCCTAACGCTCTTTCTCGCAGAGAAAACAAAATTAAAGAAGGTTAGTGCAACAAAAAGTGGACGACTTTTAGGGAACTTCTTTAAAAAAATGCAATGAAAGTGAGTCAATAGTATGCCTCGCTCGCATTATTCTGGTAGGTAAAAAAAACCACACAGAAAATCGGCGTAAGAGGATACAAAATGAGGTTGGTGATAGTCGGAGCATTCAAATAAAAATTAAAGGGGAAAATAACAAACAAAATTGTATCCGCTCTGGCTCTAGTTTTATTATTTATTCATATTCTTCTTATTAATATTTCCTTTATGCTTTATTATTTAGTTGGCAAGAATATATTTAATATCTAGTATAGTTATTATTTAGTAGGCAAAATAAGAAAGTAAGAAGTTTTAGATCTCTATTAGGATCTATATCTCTCTTCTTCTTCTTCTTCATCTAACTGATCGGTTGGCTTTGAATAAGAAATTTTGACATTTGTTATGTCTTGTCCCTTTCGTTAACGCTGCGCTACATCAAAGACATAGGGTAAGGCGATGACCTTTTTCCTTATATGCCTGGTTGAATTGTAAATAGAAAATGATCAAGGTCATTTTGGGAACTTCATTTAGATTTTTTAGGATGAAATTGTCAATTTTTTTTATTTTTTTTTTCGAAATGATAGAAATCACATATATTCACAAAACAAACAAGACTAGAAAACAACCACTTAACCGAATAATCCACCATACGGTCGAATAAACCAGCTAAATTGTTGAATCTAGTTGGGAGGATTACACAGACAGACGGTAGCCTAGAACCAACTTAAAAAACAACACAAGAAACACTAAAACACTCCCAAAAGAAGAATAACAAAAGCTCCCACACGTGGAGAATACACCAAGCGCACTCCCAACGGGAGAGAAAAAATAAAACACAATCTAAACGCAAGAAAAAAACACAAAAACACAAAACTACAACTACAACAATCCTTCTCGCCACAGGAATCCATACCAATCGGAACTATAGCGACGCCATTAGATATCCATCCACACGGATAGAGTCACGACCCAAGAATTCGACCCCGAAACTGCAAGAGAACGCCTAACTGAGTCCCATTCCAACAGGCCCAACTCCAATCCTAATGAACATCCCACCTACACATGGAGACAATTCAACCGACAACCACACGGCCCGACACCAACAACCAATTCCCGGCAATAGAACACTGGGCCGAGAAACCGTTCGTCCCCTCGCCCAACACCAGAGCCGAAGAGCCGAAGAGGACCACGGTGGAAAGGTCGAGACCCGCACCCCAACCCCCAAACTGGAGTAATTGGAGCCGCAAGCCACATCTGAAGAAAGGCCGGAGAGAGAGAGAGAGATAGTTCGGATTTTCTTTTGTTTTGAGATAGTTCAAAAGAAAGAGAAATTGTCAGTTCACAAGGACCAAATGGTGGGACAAAATAATAATGCCACTTTATGCCAGAACGATTTGTCCCGTGATGGCGTGATAAAACTATGAGAGGAATCGGGCTCTTGATATCGAACCAGACTTATATCTGCCCATGTAAACATTACATATCTATGGATATAGGGGGTTATACAACCTAATAAGGCCAAGTAAACGAGCCCTAAGTGGAGAATTTGGTATGGAGTGGAGAACTTGAAAATAAAAAAAAATAAAATAAAAAAAATCCTTTAAATATCAGTATATATATCATATCTGTTTTTGGTCTTTCAACAGCTTATCGGATTTAGTGACCTAACCAAGTGGAATTTATTCACCAAAATCTACCCACAAATGAATAATGTCAGTTCTTTTCTAGGTTCTAACCTACTTAACTTTCTGTAACAATCCCTACCTCCAACCCGTGCGGTTTTCAACATTTGCAGTCTTTCGAAAATCGTTGTTATCGATCACAAGGTTGACATGTGATGTTGTATATCGTCAACCGTCATTCCCTCGCTCCAAAAAGTTCGAATTTCTCGGTTACCATTTCTTTTCTAACACTTCTCTGCCAAATATCCGTACTTCTTGCAGATGGATTCATCCTCAGCTGAAGAGTCCCCTGTCAAAATTCTCTGTCGCGCTTCCAGTGCCTTTTGGAAAGAAAAAAAATAAAAATAAAAATCAAGTGTGTAAATCAAATGAGCCTGAAATTTTTTAAAAACATCCAAGTTTGCATCCCTTCTGTTTTTTAGAAAAATAACAATTAGCAAAAAGTAGCGCATTAACCTGTTTTTCCCAGTCTGTGAGGCCGGTTACAACAGAAAGCATGATGGATTGTACAGTTGCACCAGCCAAAAGACCACTCCAAAGGCCTTGGCCTTTCATGTTCAAAACAAATGCTAGCAGCAAAGCCATTGGTGTACCCACGAGATAATAAGCCCCTAAATTCACATAAGCCCCAATATATTGCCACCCACTACCTCTGGCAACTCCTGGGAGAAAATTATACCAAATTTAGGAGTTCATAGGTGCAAAAATTTTCTGCATTTTGTTGACAAGTTAATTTTTTAGA